CCTTTTTTTTTTTTTTTTTTTTTTTTTTTGAGACAGAGCCTTGCTAAGTTCCTAAGTTGCCCACACTGTCCTCGAACTTGTAATCCTACTTTTTCAAAGTTCTGTCTCCAAATACAGTCACACTTGGATGTCTTGGGGTTAGAACTTCAGCGTAATAATTTTAAAGGTCCACAATTTAGTCCCTAACAGCTGGTTTGGAGAGTTTGAAAATACTGATCAAGGGAAGAAGACGGTCAGGTTTGCACCTATTCATGTCACCTCAGGAATGAAATTAAGGGCTGCAAACCCCATGTCCCACCAGCGGCCATCCGCAACCAAGTAGACCCCATCTCAACAGCTGACTCCTTCTGCTTCTTCCCTGCCCCATCGTACATTTCCCAAAATCCAAGCCTACATGGGCTCTGCATGGTGAAAGAAAAGGGGGGTGGCCTCTCCCCTGACCTTCCACAGCTTCCTGGGTTGTAGCAGAGTGCTTACCTCCAGTGCCTTGCACTTGGCACAGGGAGCCCGTTGGCTACATGCTAGATGCCCATGGGCCCAGAGCCACCGAGGCTCTGTTCACCTATTGGTCCCCAGATGACCTCAAGGGGGAAGAAAGCAGCAATAACAGAAACAGTCAGAACTTATAGGAACTTCCAATTAGAAGTGAGGGAATAGGAGGTGCTGACTAAATAACTGGTAGAAGGAAATGAGTTTGCTTCTCTCCAGATCTCCAGGGGGAGAGAGAGCACTGCTGATCTTCAGTTTTCCTAAGACCCCAATGCACAACCACCCCAGGCCATGGGGGCAAGGTGAAGGGTGGGGACAGCTCCCCCTCATGCTGAATGAAGTGGACACCTCTGGGGAGATGAGCAGGAACCCTGAGTCAGCTCTGTCCTTGGGCCCAGCGCCCAGGGCTTACTAGAAACAGGGAAGGGCGATTCCTTCCTGCTATTGTGAGCATCAGGCCCAGGAGCCCTAGGGAGCACTGGTCAAGGTTGGATGCAGTTTCAGCCTGGAGCAATGACACAGCTCGGCAATGGAGGCATCTTGTCTATGAAAGTGAGAGGAGAAATCATAGAAGGAGGATGTGGCTGCCTGGGACTCCAGCTTGTTTCCAGGAAAAACACAGGCAGCAGGTTAACCCTCTCCTGACCTTGCTCTCAGAGTGAGCACCACACTGGCTTCATCAGCACTTGGAGCTCGGTCCTTTGACATCTGACCTCGGTTCGAATCCTAGGCCCAACTGTGTGACCTCAGGTAATTCCTTCATCTCTCTGAGCCTCAGATCCCCCCCTCTATGAAGAGGAGGTGGGGAAAGAGAGAAGAAGGGAACATTACCCTTCCTATAGAGGTGTTGAGAGCATTAAATGAGATGTTCAAACTCCATCTCGGTCACCAGTGAGCTGTGTGACCTTCAGCACAGCAACTGACCTCTTGAATCCTTCTTTCCCCTCCTATAAAATGTGGGTAGTAATTCATAGTCCAGTAGGTTTGTGGGAAATTAAATAATATGGGAAAAGCACATTAGTCAATGCCTGGTTCATTGTAGATATTTAATACAGGTGCCCCAAAAATTAGAAAATGCAGATTAGTTGCATTTTTATCAGTGCTTTAGTTATATTTGCAGGTAATATGTTTAATGTGTTTTTCTTCAATATCCAGCTACATTTTAAGGCAACATTCTTAAACATTCAAAGCAATGGGTCCAATTATTAATCTGAAAAAAAAAACAGTTAATACACTAGTTTCCCTGTTTCCAGATTTTCTTGCACACTTAATTTATTTTCTGTTTATCAAATCAACAATCTGACACTCAGAGGATATTAATTCTCTTTAATTTTCTCATTTGTCTGAGTCAGAACCTGCAGCCAGGGGACCCCTCCCTTGCCTCCCCCAACTACACACACAAACTCCCAGGGACTCTCATAGAATCATTTGTTTCAAATCCTAGCTCTGCCACCTGCTGGCCCAGAGCCTGGTCTGGCTCCCCCTTAGTCCCCAGACTTAGAGTCCTCATCTGCAGAGTGGGGCTAACAGAAACCTCACTGGCCCCTTGACAAAGGGCTAATTTCATGGTGTGTGCAAAATATAGGTGCCTGAGGGTGACCCGGCTCTCTAACAGCATAACTACTGCCTGTCTTGCCGTTATTCTGAAGAATGCTGTTCCAGCAGGACCCCTCTCTCTGTGTTCCCTCCGTCTTTGCAGAGAGCCCCTCTTCCGCCAACTGTGCGCTCTCCACTGGCTTCTGGAGGCCCTGACCATCGACCACACCCACCACATCATGAAGCCTGTGATCACCTGCTTCAATACCAAGTATGGCTCTGTGGGGCCCTCAACCGACCTTTAACTAACAATAGCCCGGGTGGCAGGGAAGCGGCTCCCATCCATTAGTCCGGTCCCCTTGCTGCTTTTCTAGATGGGTGCTTTATGAGTGCTATAGGATTCAAACAGGGCTGAGCTGGAACCGGATCCTACAGACCCATGACAGCCAGTGAAATCCTGTGCCTTTCCCTCACGCATCTCTTCCCAGATCTGCATCCGGTGACATCACGTTGGTAGCTTGAAATCAGTCTGCTGCGGGGGAAGCATTTACACCCCAGACACGGCCCAGCTGTACCAGCACACGTGGATCCCCAGCTCCATTGCTCTTCCACCCACCGCTTTCATGGCCTGTGTCTCCCCAACTTTCTTGGGTTTTTTTTCCTCCTTTTTTCCTCCTTCTACTTCTCTCTCTTAGTCTTCTCTTTCTCTTTATGTTTTTCTACTTTTCTCACAGTTTTGTTTTTTGGGGGGTTTTTACTTGGACCCAAGAGAGTACTTGGAATTTGAGATCCTTGCCCAGGCAGAAGCTCCAGAACATGCTGTCTAAGCCAAGAAGAGTGTGAGGAGTATCACCACTATCGGTGACTGCACACACAGCGCACAACAGGGAACAGACACACGTGCAGATGTTGCTTCTTTAGGAAGTTAAGTTGCCTGCAAAAATGAGACATCCTCCCCCAAAAAGGACAGAACCCTGACTTGAGGGATTGGATTTGCACCATGAAAACTACAGGCTGAGTTAAATAAAATAGTTCCCCACCCCACCCCCATGATAACTGTGCCCCCACCCATAGCTCCCAAAACGCTGCCACCAGGGCCCTGCCTTCCCGCTGAAGTCAATCCTCTTCCTTTTCCAAAATTCTGAGTCATCATTAACCCCTTCCTATGGTGGGCATTTATCCACCCATCCCTGAAATCCCTCCCTATCCTCCCCGTTTCATCTCTTGCACCAGGGCCCCAATCAACTAACTTCAACTGCAACTGTAAATGGAACCCACACCTCTACTGACAGATTAGTGACTTTATTCTGTGCTTGTGGTTGGGATGAATTTTAAACCGGAAGTTTCCTTTGATACAGTGACTCACAACTATTCTTCAAGAAATAGTAATCTATTTTTAAAATAGAAATCCCAATCATGTAAAACAGATTTTTTTTTCCACTAATCTGTCAGTAGAAAACACCCCTCACACACCGAGGCTGATTTCAAGTTTTACCAACACAATGTCACTGGACTCGGAGTTAGGGAAGGAGACGTATCAATCCTTGACAGCCAGTTTGAGCCAGTTGCAGCGCACCACCATCTATTATGATTAATGTCAACCCCTCCTGTTATTGACACATTCTGAGGCTTACATACTGGACCCCAACACCCACAGGCATTTTCTGATCCCGAGTGATTTGTGGCTCCCAGAGGCTTCATTTTCATCAAGCAAAATGACAGCAGTAGGTCCAGTCTTCTCCCAATGGATTTTATAGCAAGAACTAGGGTGGTTCAATACCTTGACATGAGCTTTCTGTAGCAGCCGGATTTCACATGTGGCAGCTAGCGTGTGAGGGCAGGAGATTGATCTGTTGGTGTGGGAAGATCTCCTATTCAGACAGCCCCGAGGACGGTTGGGTGAGTGGAGCGATGACAGATTGCTGGATGTCATCATGAACTGCTCCTCAGTCTTAGCCTTACTGAGGAAAAAAGACAACTTCTCAACTTCCCCATTTCACCATGTGGCAATCCAAATACATCATCATTTTCTGGCATCTTTGTCAATCATCATAACAAGAGTTTATTTCAACTGAAAGAATGGGCCAGGTTCACAACAAAAGGAGAAACAGCCTGTAATAATGAATGTACTAATTCTTTTTCCTTGAGAGATAAAAGCTTCTCATTAGGCAGAGACTTGATTTTTTAAAAAATGAAAATCTACAGGTCTTTATCCAATCCCTCGGGGAACAACTATGTTCCAGAATTCTTTTTTGGTTTCAGGTTTTTTTTAATTGTTGTTGTTGTTGAGTAAGGAAGACAGGGTATATACCATATAGGATATCACACTCACAGAGGGGTCTAAAGCAGCATCCTGCCAGCAAACACAGTATTTCTGCATAAAGCAAATAAGTGACTATTCATCCTAAGAGAATAATAAGAGTAAATAAAGGCCTTCAGGTCATGTTTTGCTGCTAAGTAAGTTACTTAAATTGCTTTTGATTTTCAAAACCCTTTGAATTTGGAATTAAGGTAAAGGGTCGGGCACCTATATCAGTATTATTACAGACTAGACTTCCAAGGACCAACTAGAAAAGAGCTGCCCTTCACCTAGAAGCAAATTCTGCTATCTCTAGTGGCATCTCCCCAACCCTCCTGCAATCTTCACTAGTTACAGTGGGGAGAAAAAAAAACAGGAAAAATGCCTGGCCAGAGGTGGTAGAGTCACCAATATACCTGCTTGCCAGAGTCCCCAAGGCCCTGTGCTGTCCCCTGGAGCCACAGGAGCAACTCAGTGGTCTAAGTCTCATTGCCTCTGGCTGTCCCAGCACATGCACCTTCCTTCAAGGCATTTCCAGTGATAATGTGCCTACCAAGCACCTAGGATATTTTTAAATGTAAATTCTGATTCATTAGGTCTGTTAGAGCCTGAGAATCTTCATTCTAGTGAATTCCTAATATTGAGAGAGTCCAGGCACTTGAGGACTGGTCTGCCCCAGGCATAAGGAACCTTCCTTAGAAAAATATATAAGGCTAAAAGGCAACCACATTTTGATAGTCAAATATGACACAAATACCTAAAGTCATCTACTATTTTATAATACAGTAGCTGCCATTTGCACACATGCAACTTCTTTCCAATTTACCAGCAAGGAAACTGAGGCATGGAAAGTTTGTGGAATTTGCTGCCACTTACATAGTTAGTAGAAAGTCAGGATTTGAACACAACTGGCCTGGTTGCAAAGCTCAGATGATTAACTACTCACTGAGTGCTCCCAGCGTTACAGCTAAAGCCCAAAGTCTTCAATTGATTTAGATGATAATCTGGTGGCCTTCTTCAAAAAGAAAGGGACTATCTCATTATAAATTAGTACATTATAAAAGGGGCCCCAGGATACAAAATAAACTCACTTACCAAGATGAAATAATACATAAAACTTCATTTTCTTTTATCCAATAGTGAAAAATGCCACTCTGCACTGACTGCTCTGCAGCTAAACCTCTGTATTTATCTTAATACATGAGGAACATCCCACCACCACCACCAGTTAGCCTCTGCTGTGGAATTTTTACTACCTGTGAATGTACACTTAAGCTTCAAGATCAAGTCTTACACAAGTTTTCACTTTCAGGAAACAACACAGCATCATTCGCAATGCACATAACTTTTTTTGTTCAAGGTGCTTTCCCCTAGTCACGTGGTCCTACCCACCAAGCAAGAAAGTCTCATTTTCCTCCAACTCTGGTTTTCCCAGGCACTGCTGGGGTTACTGCAGTGACCAGAAAAAAGTACATCCTATTCTCTAAAACTTCCATTCTTAAGAAGGGGCCAGGGGGTGAAACAGATACTAAATACACAACACTCAAGATAATTTACAACAGCAATAAATGTCCTGAAGAAATTGATGGGTGACATTGTAGTGATGGGGGTAGGGACTTTGCTTCTAAACTGGATCATCAAGGAAAGACTAAGATCTCAGAAGAGAGAGAAATCTCGGATCTCCCATGCTGTCTTCTCACTGATTTAATTACATCCCCTCTCCACTCTCGCACTCCAGCAACAGTTCTGGGTGGGAAAACATGGGGGATGCTCAGCTTCTCCTATCATCACAGAGGCAGGATAGGGCCCCTGGCCTAGGAGATCAGAGAGCTTTGACCTCTGCCCGCTTCCTGGTGCAAAATCAGCCATTTTTCCCCTCTGGTGTAGATACATGTGCTTATCCTGAATGCAGCCAAGTGACCACCCACCCTGAGCAGCAGATGTTTTACCCCAAATTTGAGTCTCAAAAATGAGAGTTAAGTATTTGAGAAAATTGCTCTGATTGCCACTGTGACCGCCAGGAACAAAAGGCACTTGGTGAATACAGTTAAAAGAGATGAGACTACTCAGAGCCCTCTTGCCTTGATTTCTGGCAAACAGACCCCCCAAAAAAATCTTTACCAAGGAGAGGTGATGGTGCAAAAATGATAGCTACTTCTCCTTTCTTGTGATTTATTTCCCAGCACCAGCTCCCCCTTGAAGCAATGCTAAGATCTCTGTTGGAAAAAAGCACGTTATTGATGTGACTAGCTGAACTGAACTGAACTGAACTGAGTTCTCTGTAAAAGAAAAGCCTCCACTAAGCCCTTAGTAACCCCAAATCTCAGCAGCTTGATGTCCCCAAAAGCTGGTTTCATGCTCAGCCTACACATCCAGCACAGGACCGCTGCTCATTATGGCCATGCCAGGAGCCAGGCTGATAGAGGCTCCATCTCAACCCACACTTCCATCATCAGCAAGGCAGAACAGTCTTCAGGACTGGCTCACGAAGCATCCACCCAACCCTCCACGTGGCACTCATGTATTTTTTTAACAAAGCAGGTCACAGAGCTACACCTGACTTCAGGGAACAGGAAAAGACCTGGGGAGTCTATTTGGCAAATGCCACTAATGCTACTTGGCCGGTGGGGGGAAGGAACGCCAGCTTGCTCTGTCTTTCACCACGAGGCACGTGGTGGACAACGCAGCTTGGGAGGTTTTATTTTTTCCTCCCTCTACTGATCTTCCTTTTGGTTTATTTGCTACTGAAAATGAAACATCAGAGAGTCTGATTCTGTCTAACCAGGGCTTTTCTTTATCAGTGTCTTTGCCAGAGCCAAGGCTCAGGGCTTTTGAAGGTCTGTGGGATTCGCACAGTATTTGCAGCTTATTTAGCCCACCTCTTGAAGTTGCAATAGATTTCAGGTCATCATGGAAGTCAGCATTAGTGGAAAAGTTCCATCTTCCCCAATTGGGCCTGAATATTTAAGATTTTGAAAGCTTGGCTGGGACCAGATTTAATTTTAAAGGGGGAAGGGGGCTGCTTTTGAACTTCAAGAAGAAGGCTAGCAGCTCAGCAGGGGCCGCCTTAGCTAAGGGAAAACCAAAAGGCCCTGTGGTCTTAAAAGAAACTCTGCTCCAATACTGAAACGCTGAAGCTTCCAGTTGGCGAGCCTTAAATCAGACTTCAAAAGCACTGCTAGTTTAAATATTGTTTATAGGACTGAAATACGGCTTGTTCTTCCTCCTGCTGGATTTTAAATATTCCCTAATTTGATTACTCAGGGGAGAGAAAAGCAGACCCCACTTAAATGAGTTTCCCAGTTAATTATTCAGAGGGCTTTTCATTGTGTAATCAAACATAAAATCTTACCAAAAGCTTGGAGATGTGTTCTCACCCACCTCCCCTCCTCAGCCCAACTTCCACTTTGGGGTCTGTGTCTTTCTTGTGCCCTGCTGTGAGCTGGTGGATGTTCAGCAAGGTCCTGCTTGTAGGAAATCACACCCCTCTCCTCCAGCCCCCATTCCATGAGAAGCCAGCCTTAATTTCGGTTTATCTCGATCACATTTTGCCGCCTGTATTTAAGCACTTTCACCTCCCACCAGCAATCAGCAGGTCCTGACAAGTCTAGACCTCTCTGATTGATCAAAATTGGTCTGTTCATCTTCTCGTTTCAAGTACCTGCTCTGTACTAGGTGAGAGCCAGTTAAATGATTGAAAAGATTCAAGCCATCTAAAAATCCTTTCTGCAGAGAAAAAGAGAGTAAAAAAAGAGATGGATGGGGCCCAGGATTTAGCTCAGGGATTCCACCGCCTGCCTTGCAAGGTCAAGGACCCAAGTTCGATCCCTGGTACTCCCCCCGCAAAAAAAGAGAGAGATGGATGGAAGATGGATGGATGGATGCATCAATCAGTCAATCAACAAAAAGTTCACACGCTGAGACTCTTCACTTGCTTCTCATGAGAGCCTCCTCCCCAATACCCACAAGTCCAAAGTCTAACAGCTCTGAAAACTTAGCTTTTCATAACTTATTTGACAGCAAAATAGGACATGAACCAGACTGATTTGGTGGCAAAACTTTACTTGAAGCTAGAGTCTTTATCTCACTGAGTGTAAATATTCATGTATTTTATCACAAAAACATGACTATGTTTGATTATAAGATGCTTCCCTGGACTTGTTGGAGGGTTTGTGGTAATGTATGGTATCTGCAGCATATTTTCTCTCTGAAAGCCAAAATTATGAATTTGGCAATATACATGGTACCACAGGTTTCAGGTGAGGGGTTACAGGCTTGTGACCAACAGCGGCTGCTGGGGTTTTGGTTTCCCATCCAGAAAGTTTCCAGCTCATGAGAGTAGGACCCAGATTTTGTAGGGTCGTAGCTTATTTAACTGGAGAGGAAGGCACTTTAAAAAAGAAACACAAGATTACAAGATGAAATTGTTGGCAAGTTCTGAGGCAGGGGCCCGCTTAGGGAAGGGGCCCCGAAGCTTTAACTTCACTTGTTTTATTATAAATCCGCACATGGCGGAGGGTCTCATGCCCTCCAGTTCATTTCCTCCTCTGTAAAATGGGCTGATGATGGCTGTGTTACAGAGTGGTAGTGACTGAGATGGTTCAGTGACAAGCAACACACAGAACTGTCTGGCTCAAAACACCCTGGAGAACTTCAGCTCAATAAACTTCAAACCAGGGACTTCTTCACTGTCCAGTCCACCCCACCCCACGGGCCCCACCCAGTCCCACCCAGAATGTTCACTCTGAATCCCTGACAGTGAGACCTTTGTCAATGGCAAAGGCGAAGATTTAGAAAGAAGCACACTTTCAGTTCACTCCCAGGGGTAACCTCACACTTGCCCTGGAGTTGGTAAAGAGACCTCCATGAGGCGCCAACCATTCATCCTCTATTTACTGCATTTGTTAAAAACAAAAATGTATAATAAACAGAGGCTCTGCAAACGGAAGACTCATTAAGCTGTTTCTCACTCAGGGACCCAGGTGGAAGCAAGAGCTCAATAAAAAAAGTCACCAAGGACAAGTCCAGGGAACAGAGGTGGGAGCACTTCGTCACAGCGTCCAAGGTAACCAGTGGCACAGGGCTCTGCCATTCGGCGACCTGGCCCAGCCTGTGTTGGGAGCACTGTTGTCAGTCTTTCCTCTGCTGGGAAATTTTTTTTCCCCCTTCTGGTTGGTTTTCTGAGTGAAGAGAAGTCAGAGCACATGCTGTTGGTCGGTTTTTGTAAATTTTAATTAAAACGGTTATCTGGGGATTATAGATAAAGTGACATTTGGCTGGACGTTACCTGATGGAGAAGGGGGGATGCTGAGTAGCTGCTTACTAAGATGTCACCAGAAGGAAACGCACTCACCTCGCTCTATCTGAAATCAATAAGAGCCCCTCTGCCTCTCTCTACCAATCTCTCTCTCTCTCTCTCTCTCTGTCTCCCATCTTTCCCTCTCACAAAATAAAATAAAAAGTCAGTGACTTGACAGACAAGATTTTCTATAAATGACAGCGTGTGTTTACTATTAAGAAGATATTACATGGTGTATTCTTTTCCACCCAAAGCGATTCCTTAACCCAAAACCTCCCAGTTCATTTGCTCAATAAACAAGCACGCTCTGAGTAATAATAGCAACACCCAACTACACAACTCAAATGTTTGCTGAGCCTGTCCCTGACTCACAAAATAGATGCAGCGGGCGTTGTCTCTGCCTACTTCCTGTTAGTGAAAAACCCAGAGAAATGACAGGAAGGCTCATTCTGAAAATGTGAGACTGGGGAGCCTCGTTGTGCTCACGTTATTTTTTTAGAGGCCATTCCCAGTGTGCCTGCAAATGGACTGGGTTCTGTGTTAAGGAAGCTCTTTAGATGTATTACCCAATTCTGCCTTCCTGATGACCCCACAGGGCACTGTCCTTATCCTCTGGTGAGAAGGGAAGAAGCTGGGTCTCAAGTTAAGTGACTCACATAAGGTCACTCCGCTGGGTTGTGGCAGAGCCAGGAGCTCATCTTGGATCTGTTTATTAATCACCAGGCTCTTCGAATGCCTGTCTTCCGTATGATTATCTCTGCCCCTCGCAATGAGCTTCCCTGTTTTCTCACTTTTTCATCAGGATGCTCCTAGACCCGAGATGTAAGAGCCTTTGTTTTATCACGAGAGTTGCTATGGAGATACCGTGTGCATCCATCTCCAAAGATGCACAAATAAAGCAGCAGGAACCACAAACCTTAACAAATGTCCTTCGGGAATATTCATGACTAAAATCGGAGGAAGAGAGAGTGCATTGCTGGAGTTGCGCTCTTACAAAATTAAATATCCCCAACAAATTTATACATCAAACCCTGGGCAGTAGTGTGATCCACTCAGGGAGCAGGGGGCACTAAATTAGGGTGTGGGAGCCCTGGCCACTGTGACTCAGTTCACTGAGTAACCTCAGACAAGTCTCCTCCCTCTCCCGATGTGGGTTTTACCACATGTAAAATAAGGGTTTGGAAAGCAACTCTGGTCAACTCCCACTGATATTTTTCTGTATGTGCGGATTCTATTGGTGCCAAGGCAGCAGGCAATGTTTCCAAGGGCTTGGAAAATTGTGTTGATGGAAAAATCAGGCTAGGTGGAATACGGTAGGGAGTAGTGAGGTCTGCAGCAATCTGAAACACCCACACAACTAAACATCTGTTACGCTCTAGCTAATTTTGCTAAATGACAGTAGGGGCCCAGGGTTTATCATTTTCAAGAAAACCAATTACTGTGGATTTCTGCGTTTAAAAGTCTCCCAATTTGTAAAGCCCTGGGTAAACATGTCTCCCCATAGGCCATAGTTTGCAAACCCTGCTTCTTAGAAAGTACAAGGAACCATTCATGGAAATCTTTTCCTCTGCTACCAAAAATCAGTCCCTACTGAGAAAGAACACAGCAGCTGGTTAACATTGCTCCTGAGTGAAATATTAAAAAATTAGAGAAGCATTTGGGGATTTAAGTCAATTCAGGGAAAGTGGTTTAATAAAGGGCAAGCAAGATGCTAGAACCTGCCTGTCACATCTTCCCCCTACATTTTATTTTTTCTGCCATTCTCAATTAATCAGAAGTGTCAGCCCATCACTTTGGATTTCCTGCCTTGGGTGGTTAATTGAATTTTAATTAATGGCAACCTTAGGAGCACAAGATGAAATCCTAGCTCAAGAAAGATGTACACAGAACTATAGATGTGGGAGGCTTTCCTGAGATCACGTCATCCCATCCCTTTCATGCTATGAATGAGGAAACTGAGGCAGGGAAGTTGCACAGGGTCCCTTAGCTCTGAGTCCAGGGATCCTGGGAAGACTTCAGGCTGCCCTTGTGACACAATCTGTCCAGGCTTCAAAAATGACACTGATCTGAAGAGTCTGGTAGCCAGCATCAGGAATTCATGCTGTGGTAGATGAATCAGAAAGAGATGACCTCTTCGAGTTCTGGCATCATCCCTCCCCAGGGAAGCAGGGAGTCAAGGGGCTTTCTGTCAGCCTGGCAAACTCTTGACTAGGTACAAGGTTGGGACAGAGGGAGCCTCGTACAGAACTCCTAATTTATCAAAGGAGAGAATGTGCTAGGTCGGTATTTGCTTTTGCTGCAATCACAGCCACGTGTCCCCTCGGAGAGTTCACTAAACTCTATTCAAACTCCAGTTCTCCAGCCTGTCACACTCGGAAGCACTCTTCCATTTGTGTAGAACTCTGCTGGAGAGTTGGAGGAAAGTGAACGAAACGCAGAGAGAGATCACATCTTCGGCCCTATGACCTTCGCTCTCTTTCTCTCTCCCGCTTCCCAACCCGCATTGAGCAACTTCTCCAGAGCAGCCAAGGCCTAGTAATTGGCATTGGCAATAACCTCACTTCTGTTTGGATCTTGGCTCTGCTCCTTGCCTGTGAATAGCAAGTGAAGAAGCTCCTCGGAAGACTGGGTCATGAGTTTGAAGAGGGCACGACCTCAGTCAGTACTTTTTGAAGTGATACCAATCGTGAGCATGCACGCACACACACACACGTACCAGGGACCAGTACGCTCTGACTCCTTCCCTCCCCCAAACCCACATTCTCCTCACAGGACTCTCCCCATCTACCCCTGTCCCTTCTAGGGCTTATCCCTCACTCCTGTCCACCCGCTACAATAATTATGGCTCCCCCCCCCCGCGC